ATCGGTGGTGTAGAAGAGGTCAGATGCTGCGTAAGTACAGCTCGAACATCTGACGCTGCCAAAGGCCTCATTCGTCTGCATCGATAACACCAAGTTAGAGCATCCCATGCGGTACATACGAAGCCTAACCTTCTGGAAATGCGCAAGTGGACAAACACGCCTTCTTCACTCGCAAAAAACGTAGCTTCACAAGACGGAAGTGTTCGTCTGCCAAGTAGTTTGGATTCATAAGAGCAGAGAGACGCGACCAAACCGAACCCCACCTGAAGTCTGAATCATCTGCGGTGTATCTCTTGCACTTGACAAACATATCACCGAAACGAACGTAAGCAAAAGCACCCAGCGCCCTGCTCAGGGAATACAAATGCATAAGCTAAGGCCAGAGCTACAAAAATTACTACTTCACCTTTCAAAGCGATTGCGAAGGGCTTGGCATAAGGCTGCTGTCACTTCCGTCGACGTCCCAGGACAGGTCCACACTCCGGATTTTAAAACTGCCAAAAGAAAAGCAAAGTGGCATAAGTTCGAGCAGTAGCAAGACAAGAGTGGAGTTCGCAAAACCTCTCAAATCCAGAGACGACCTGCTGTCAATGTGACGCCCGGGTAAAAAGAGCCACAGTTTGAGCTTTTGGCCTGCAGCAAAAGACAGAGAAAGAAACTCAGTAAATGGATCCAAGCCTCGAGTTTCACTGGCCTTTGTCTTGTGACGAATAAGTCCATGAACTAAGTCGTCCTTCATTCTGGAGCTCAATGTGTGCTGCGAGGAGCTGCTTAGCGAGCTTATCTTCGCTGCATTCTTGATTCTTCCTGCTCGCGAGGAAAGCGTTACACTAGGCTACATTCCTGTTTGTCTAATCACTCTTACCTCTGGGAATCGTCCGCAACGAGCTGAAACCACGAGACTTCTTGCAACCCGCCCTGTAAAACCGGCATTCATCAGCAACGACAGCTCCAACCGCGACAGCAGCACTTACAATTCGGAAGACATTGGTGAACATCATCGTCGCGGGGCTGCTGTGGCGCCTTGGCCAGCGCCACTGCCAGTGCCACGCGCTAACCCTAACCCTAGAGTGATGGACACGTGTGCGGCGAGGATTTGCTTCCACTCTAGTTTAAAAGATTTTTTCAAGATGACTATGTTCCAGATGACGATGGCCATTCGTAAGCAGCAGTAGCTGCAGTGGTGCCTTTGGATGAAGTTCAGATTGCTCAGCTACAGAATCAGGCAATGCAAGAAGCCGCAGATTTGCTCTTCAGAGGGGTGAAGCCATGGTTTGCGGACAAATCAAAAGTTCGTGGGGTTTTCATTGTTGGCAATGGTGTCGGTGATTTGACATATACTTTGAGTTTTATCCACTGGATAGAATCAGGTATGCCCTTTGCAGCTTCTGCGACGAGTGCTGGGAGTGATATGGACCAGATTGCATCCGAAGCAGATGTCTGGAACAGAATTGTGGTCCAGTTGTGCAGTGATGACCTGGTGCCTTGGACCGCCCTAGAAGGTGCAATGGGTCACTCAAGCCATATGGCAAGCCTCCCTGATCTCTCACCAACACTGCTCAGTCTCTTTGCTAGTGAGTTCACGACACGAAACAAATGCGTGCACGTGATTCAACCTCATAGTGCAGACACAGGATCTCACCCTGAGATACTCTAGACATTAATTGAAACACATTTACTTTTCAAACAAAAGAACCCACATTCACAATCAATCTACAAAACGAATATAAACACACTCCAATCCAATCACACTCTAAGAAACACTGTTAAATACAGAAGCCTTGAACCCATTGCTTCCTGCTCTTATCCTTATATTCTTGGGATCTTGGAATCCCCTGCATGCTCTGTAATTGCACCCTCATTTTGATCGTTCACGAGTTTGTGCGGTACAGCCTCTTATGTGGAAAGCCAGAGGTGCCCGGCACCTGGCCGTTTTCGAACCCACAGACTGGAGCCTCCGAAGTGAGATGCAAGTGTCTTGTGACTTTCTGCTGGGGGTGCCTCGACTAGCCGCAGCCTTCGATCTCGTGCGAGCTCGCTGCCAAGTGGAACGCCAAGAACAAGTCCGAGAGTGGCAACGTTGCATGGCTGGTTGGCAAGTGCAGCCGGCCCATAGAGAAGAACAGGCTTGACAACGTTGATGTTGTTGCTTCTAAAAGGAACAAAGCCTTTGTGCCGCTCCATACAAGCACCAGTTTTGCTGGATCTGCCTTGAAGCATGGCGCTTCCGGCTGGTGCAATGCATACCAGGAAGAATATTCTGTGGCAAAAGACAGGCGCAAGGCCCGAATGGACGTGAAGCGATACGAGCACCTCTTTGCGAGGTTCGAGGCGGGCCAAGTCCATGGACAAGGTGCAGAGCGACTTGAGCACGGTCATTCCAGACCAAGCTGAACAAGGACAGTGACACCTATATCGAGCTCAACTTCATACTCGATGCGTGGAAGATGAGTGTCCGGTGCCGCAGGGTCATGAAGTGGAGCTTCGTGTATGAATACTACTTGTGTGCTTCTGATCATCAAGACAACTCGTACAAGGTCAGCCTGTACAATTACCTCCAAGATGCCGCTGCGGCCTTGAGACAGGCTTCACATTGCGCCGAGAACGAGTGCAAGGATGCGAGGAGAGGATCGGCTTTATAAGCTCGTCACACTGACAAAGCGCACCCAACAGTTTATGGCCAGCTCTCTAGAAGCCGGGCTCGACGTTGATGTTGCTTCTAAAAGGAATGAGGCCGAACAAAGCACTAAGCCGGCCAAACGTAATGCTGAATTGACATAGATGGTCCGACTGTCTTCTATCCGAGTTGGTATAGAATGAGGAAGACCTACTCTTCTTCTTGAGAAACGGATGGAGGTGCAAGAATTGCAAGCTTATCAATCCTATCTCGAAGTCCAAGTGTGCTGTCTGCCTTGCCTAGAGATATTCAAAGTGATTATATCATTGAAAAATAGCTATACTCGCCCTCCTAGTCTCCATTTACAAATTGCTTGTTCGCGTAGTACCTCCGCTCACTCTCGGCCTTCTTCTCGTTGCGCTTCTGTAGAGACAAACATTTTCTCAATAACGGCAACTGGTTTATATCGTAACGGCACTGACCCTGAAAGCCTCGTGGTTTGCGACAATGCGCGCGATTATGGTTGACGTAGTTATGTTCCGGGGGCTCTCCAAAATTTTGAATTTTCCTAGCTGCTTGGGACACGCATATGGATCGAAATCACCCTGGAAGGGAGCACAAGAGAGCCGGTGAGAGCTCACTCAAGGCACCAGTATACCTCTTTAAAATCAGTGGTCTCCGCCACGGTTCCATGTACTACCAAAGAGATGTTGAACGTAGTGACCTGATCAACACGAAATAGATGTGGTGTTAGCCATGAGTCTCTATCTACATCATTTGATCTCACCATGTCTTTCGTGACTTCCCATGGTGCTCCAATGATGATTTCATCGGCATACCTGCAGGAGAGAACACTGAGGCTCCGCTCATGCAGGTTCATCACCGGATGATGTGCACCCCTTCGAGTCCTGTGAACAAAAGCCACTCGCTAAACAAACAGCATAGATGTTTCAAAAAGGATCATCACCTCACTGTTTGGTCCGTGTGAATTCCCACGAGTAAGAAATCGCCCAACGCTTTGGCACGCTCCAAAATCTGGAAGGACAAAAAGAACAGTAAAATTCCAACAATATCGAATATAAAATACCTACAGCCACATGCCCAGCGTGGAACAAGTCAAATGCGCCATCAATGTAAACAATCCGAGCGTCTGGCCTTGGACCCTGAGAGAATGAAGTTTAGAAAGAATAAATTAGTTGGCAGAGCTCAATAATGGTACACACCTTTCCATTTGAAAACTGAACTATGCGACGCGAAGTTGGCAAAAAATGGGAGATCTGAGTCTGGGGATGACTGTCTGGGCCATGGCTGTGGCCGTGACTGAACTGACGCTGCAAAGACGCATGGTTCTGGATTTCGCTGGGTGGCCGGTCTCTCACGCAAAGCAGCATCCTTCCTGTAGCAATTGCAGCTCGACATGAGTGGAGGAAAAGAGAGAAAGAGATAGCTTATTTCAGTACCAACAATGTCCGTGCTCGACACTCCCTCTGTACGCTTGATCTGCTTGTAGCGGCCGGCCTTTTTGGCGTGTGCGTACGCGTCGCTGCCATCGGGAAGAAGGCAAGGATCGTCCCCGTGAATGATATAGTCGATGCGGTACTTCGTAAAGAGCTTGTTCATGAATTCCTCGTTGATAGCGTACGGAGCATCCTCAATAACTTCGTCCACCCATTTCACGGAGCGAACCATCGCCATCCTTTATGGAAGAGATGTTAGACCAAGGAGAAAAAAAAAAAGAAAACTCTTAAGAGCCCACCTCTCGTCCATGGACATGACGGGCGGTCCCTTGTTGCTCTCAATTTCTCCATCGCTCACAACTCCCACCACAAGCTCGTCACCAAGCGCTCTCGCCTGCCGCAGCGCATTCGCATGGCCGTAGTGCATAAGATCGAAGCAGCCATCCATGTAAACCCTCACGCGCCGGTTCTCCTTTTTCTTGGGCAGAAAGATGCCGAAGGCCGGAATCGCGACTGGAATGAATCCCAAGAAATGGGATGACAATCCCAGAACAGCTGCTGCCAGGATGAGTCCCGCGACTAGCAGCTGCGCTACCTGTGGCGCGTCCGAGTATCTCATGCTCACCACGCTCCACCCCATGGCGACCAAATTTCCGGGCCGCTAAAGCTTCTAGCTCGATTCTAGCTACCCCCTCACCAGAGATTGGAAGAAAGAAAAGAAATCCGCCGCCACATCCAGCAGCACTGTGTCGTTCTGGCGTGTCGGTGCGTGTGATCGCGCTGCGCTGCTGCGTGTTAGATCCAACGAAGAACCCTAATCCACTTTAAATCTTAAAGTCGTGGTGCTAGTGTGAACTGGGACCGTTACACGGTGACAAATCGCATAGTGCCGCGTCAGTGGTCTCTTCTGTGTCACCCACTCAGACGATGCCATGTAGGTGGCCAAGGGCCAGCGTTAACGATCTTAGGCATATTCGCGCTGGACGAAATGTGGGCGGAAGTCAAGGCGGGAAGGAGCTAGGGTTTTAGTCGTGGAGACCTAATCCCCCGGCGCCATGGAGCAGCGCGAGGTACTCAAGGTAGGCGCTCTCTCAATCTCCCAAAATTTGAGCTCCATGCGCTTTGGGAATGCGCAGAAGTCGAGAGTCCTCATGGTTGGAGCTGGCGGTATTGGCTGCGAGCTCCTCAAGACTCTGGTGCTCACTGGCTTCCACAACATAGACATTGTAAGTGTGAGAGGATTCTCTGGAATTTTACATTGACGAGAGTACACAGATCGACATGGACACAATCGAAGTTAGCAATCTCAACCGACAGTTTCTTTTCCGCAAGCGTCACGTTGGACAATCTAAAGCTAAAGTAAGCATCACTTTTTTTTCATTCTTTTCCGCTGATAGACCGCGATCAGGTTGCTCGGGAAGCGGTTCTAAAATTCCGGCCCGATGCTAATGTAACTAGCTATCACGCCAACGTCAAGGACGAGCAATTCAACGTGGATTTTTATCAGCAGTTCCAGGTTGTGCTGAACGGGCTCGATAATTTGGATGCCCGGCGTCACGTGAATCGGCTGTGCCTGGCAGCGGGAGTTCCTTTAATTGAAAGTGGAACTACTGGCTACTTGGGACAGGTACTTAGAAGGTTTTAGTTTTTGGAAGTTCTTGGGTCCTTCGATGAAAATTCACTGCTGCAGGTCACAGTGCATGTTAAAGGAAAGACTGAATGCTACGAGTGCCAACCAAAGCCTGCCCCGAAGACTTATCCGATTTGCACTATAACGAGTACGCCCTCCAAGGTACTTTTCTGTGAAATATAGCATTATCATCTCTCTCATTTCGGTCTTGCTCTTCAGCCAGTGCACTGCATTGTGTGGGCAAAAGAACTTGTTCTGGTCAAGCTTTTCGGTGACCGCAGCCAGGCAAGCGATCTCAACCTGCAGGCAGCTGACAGTGATCACGAGGATTTTTTACAACTACGTGACGCTGAGACTATCAGTGACTTCTGTGCCAGGGTTTTCGACCAAATCTTTGGTCATAATATTGAGGTGGCTTTAAAGAACGAGGATCAATGGAAAAACAGGAGGCGTCCCACTCCGTTGTTTCTTTCTGGCGTTCTACCCGAAGGGATTGAGACTTGCAAAGCACACAGGTTCTCAGATTCCATCCTGTCGGTTATGCCACTGCTGGGATTCAAGAATCCTCAAGAAGTCTTGAGCCTTCAGGATAATGCCAGGCTTTTCATTTCTGCTATGCGTGCAATCCTGGAGACGAGAACGAAGGTACTCTGTTTCACTCGCCAGGACCACTGAGATTGATGCTCGGCTTGTTGCAGGAGATTGGAAGCCTGACTTTTGACAAGGACGATCAGTTGGCAATGGAGTTCGTTTCGTCAGCAGCTAATCTGAGAGCGTACTCCTTTGGAATCCCTGTTATGAGTATTTTTGACGCGAAAGGTATTGCTGGAAACATCATACATGCAATAGCTACAACGAACGCTATCATTGCCGGGTTGATTGTGATTGAGGCTGTGAAGATACTTATGAAGGACCTCGACCACTGCAGGTAAGCATTTTAAAATCGTTGTTGGTGTGTTAGATTTTCTTTGTTTGGTTCAGGATGACGTACTGCGTTGAGCACCCTTCAAGAAAAAGATTGCTGATGCCAGCCGACCCTTTTGAACCGAATCCTAACTGCTATGTTTGTTCGAATGTGCGTTTAATTTTCTTTAGCGCTTTCTGGATTGTACTGACTCTTGGATTTTACTTTCCTTCTAACAGACTCCTCTCATCCTGGAAGTAAACACTGTACACACGAAACTTAAGGACGTGATCGATCGGATACTGAGAACCAAGCTGGGCGTGAGCTCTCCGGTTATCATGCACGGCACGAGTCTTCTCTTCGAAACTGGAGACGACCTTGGAAAAGAAGAAATTCAGCTCTACACCTCAAATTCTGAGAAGGTAGGGAAGTATTTTTCCAGTTCGTATCCACGATTGACCTCACTCGTATGCCTTTGCTTCAGGTTCTTGCGGAGCTCCCAACGCCGGTTACAAACGGCGGTGTCCTGTCCGTCGAGGATCTGCAGCAGGAGTTCAAGTGCAGCATACATATCAGACACAGGTTAGAGAGCTAATGTTGAAACTTGAAAGCTAACGGACGCATTGATTTTCAGGGACAACTTTGATGAAGAAAAGGAACCAGATGGAATGGTGTTGATTGGATGGTCTTCCAGCGTGGCTGAGCAGGAGAAAGACAAAGAAAAGCCCATTGCAGCTCCAGCTGCGTCGGCAGAAATTATTGACGACGATGACATTACGCTTATCGAACCAGCAGCCAAGAAGAGGAAGCCGGAAGACGACAGCGTTCCACTGGGAAAAAAGCAAAAGGTTCTAGAGTAAAGCAGGCTGCTTAATCTCTGTAAAGCTGACTACGCTACAGGTATGTACCTCGGCTTTTTTGTACGCCCTCTTGCATTAACACAAACCGTTACTCACTTTCCAGAATTTTTTGTTTTACTTCCGAACTGGTCTAGCCGTACCACGTAGAACATTTGCTCGAATTTTGGAGCTGATTATAGCGCGAGTAATGCTGAAAAAATTCCAAACGCAAACACCGCCGTTCCTCCCACCAGGCAAGCCCTTAAAAATTGTTCTTGACGTCGGTGGCGTCCTCGCAGTCGAAGCACAGAGCGCAGGATCTCCTCGCCGTCGAGGTAGAACACCTGTTTTAAAAGTGAAACGTTTTAAAGTGGGCTGCCAGAACGATAGATTACTCACTGGAGCGCTGTTTAGAATCGCAAGAGCTGCTGAGATGTTGAAAGTGTAAGCTACAAGCTTTTGGACAACACTTGGAAGCCATGATAGCGAGGACAGGAGCTGGTAGCGTGGCCGATAGTCGGTGACGAACACGAATGCCTCAAGTTCTTGGGGAACACCGGCAAAAACGACTGTCTTCTCACAGCCCTCGATTAGAAATTCTTCCGGAGGCATTAGTCCGCAAGTTGAGTTCTCACGCGAAGCGAATGAGATCCGGACTAGAGCTTCTCCAGCCGCAAGTTTAGGCTCTGTGCATTCTTCAATCTGAAAAGGAAAAAAAGGAAAACTAGAAACTAGAAAAGAAAAAAGAATGTTACCTGTGAGCACGAACTGGACGATTCACAGCGCCTATAAGCAACAATCTCGCTGGCGTTGAAGCAATTGGATCTTGAGCGGAGCTCTAACATTCCTGGCTTGCAACTGGAACCAGAGATATGATGGGGAATGCAGTAGCCAGGGAGATCCTTACTCGATTGTAGCTCTTGCAGCCAGTCGCTTGAAGTGTAAACCGGCACTCCATTTACCGCTTTGAAAGCATCTCCGGCTCTCAAATGTGCTCTCAAAGCAGAGCCAGGATCAACTCCAGTAACCTGTAGATAGAGGCAGCTGTATCATTAGCGTGTGAGTGAGAACGAGCAAGGCTCACCACAGGGCCGACTCCGTGAATGAAGAGCGGAACTAACAGCACCGGGAGAAGCTTGAGGAGAATCCAGCATCCTACGCACAACTAGCACGTACTTCACTAGGTGGCGACACTGGAAACAGTCCGAGTTCACGTACCACGGCGTTATGCCACACACCAGCACAGTAAATCCGGAGAAGTCTCCAAGGGGATAGCAGCTCCAGAGCATCCTCACTCAGAGCAACAAATGCTCCAAAGGCGAAGACTGCAACGTGGTGCACTGGAACACCTTCGCTGCAAATGAAGCAAGCTACAACCTTGAGAACAAGAGACAAAAAAAAGAGAGATTTTTTGCTCTACCTTCCAGCGCCAAGTGCATGGCCAACCTCGTGAAACCCCGCCGCCAAACTCGTACCAAGCATTACGTAGAAAACATCACTCCATGGCACATTCAAACCAGGTACCTGCGCAATTCCTGGTTAGAAGATCCACAGCAGAGTTGTTCTTACGATCGGTGTCACGATGGAGGAATTTAGTTGGGAGCTGCCCGCAGAAGCAAAGATTCTGCAAAGGGACAAAAGCATCTGCCAGACGAGGACCTGCAGCAGCGTCGTTCTTATCAGGAAAGTTTCCTGGGAAAGAAAACAATAAAAACCATACCAAGACGGAGGAGAGCACAGCCAGAATCCCAAACAGTGCTCCACAAGAGAACCACAGCTTGAAAGCACTGCATTCATTTATTGCGGACCCGTGGATCAAAGAAAAGAACAAAATCGCTACTCACGCGGAGTGTCGCAGCCCCAGCGAGAGAAACCAGTGATTCCACGCAGTCGTTCGCCAGGTAAACACGCTGCCACCGCACCAGTGTTAGAGAAACAATTGATCAAAACGATAGAAATCACAGCTCACGGGAATGCGGGAAGACGCACTCCCCCTCGCAAGCACGAATTCATTCTCCCTCTCACGGTTGCCCTAGAAACAGGTATATTCCTTTTAGAATATACCCGAGAATATGCTCGAGCTCCTCAGTTAATGCAGCGCCGTATAGTCGCTCGATCTGTTCTTCGCTCGCCCTCCTCCGGCTGACCTGACCCTGGGAGAAAGAGAAAGAGAGAAAAGCAGGAGAGAGAGAGAGCGATGGCGATGGCGAGGACGAGGCGGAGGAGGAGGGGCTTCCGTCAAATCGATGCTAGGCAGGAGCTGCATTGTACAGCCGCGATCGGCCGCGCAGCAAGGGTTTTGAATTCGAAATCGCCGGGGCTCTAGATCCTGGGATTTAGCCCAGCTGCGGCGATGGATTCTCGTCGTCGTCGTCGGTGTTCTTGACGAGGGGAGGCGCTGGATTTCCATCCAATGTGGGCATACTTCTTGTGCATTCTTGTGCTGGGTTACAACAACCTTGTCCAAGCCAGGCCAAGCACCGGTATGTTCTTCCTTGCTCCTTGGTGGATAGATTTCGCTTGCTAGAATTCGAGAGGGAGTGACTGATTTCTGGTTTGCTCCAACTCCAGGCTGCCCCTACATGTTCAATCACGGCCAAGGCATCACCAACCTATGCGATGGCAGTGTCACGTCGGGATCTTCCGTCCAGACGATGCTTTGCTGCGAGGAAGTGTATGGAGCTGCCGTCTATGCCATCGCGCAGTACACCAATTCCACTGGAGCAATGTTCCTCGAGTCGTCACAGGCGGAGGTTTGCATCGACCTCTACAAGCAGGATCTTATCCAGCTCAAGCGCATCTCTCCAGCCTTCTTCGACAGCTTCTGCCCGCTGCCAGCGTCCAGGATCACGAGCTATGCCTCGCCCTGTAACTTTGGCCAGATGGAGGAGCTCATGCAAGCGGTGGACTTGGAGAACGTCTCGGATGCGTGCGGCCAGCGAGGGAATAGAGGCTGCCAAGAGTGCCAGGCCCAGCTCCTCCAGGCCACCGTCAGCCTGGCGTCTCGAAAGGCTGATCAACCGGGAGCCTGCGGCACAGCCATCGCCATTGCGCTCACCAGCTTCAATCCGAACCAGGTCTACTTTGAGAACTTCTACACTTGCGTCTTGCAAATTCTGGGAGGAGTTCCTATATCTCGTACGTAAGATTCTGGCTTGTTGTCATCTTCCTTCGTTCACTTGTTCGTTGTTTGTCTTTCTCGCAGAGTACCTCAATATCACAACAGCGCCTAGCACTGTAGCACCGGGTGAGCATATTTTATCTTCTCTTCGATAGCTTTAGCTTGCGCGCTAAGTGTATGAGCTACTTTCTTCCTCAGGCCAGACTTTACAAGCGAGATCCTCGTCTCTGTCGTCGAGATTGGTGATCATTCTCATGGGAGCAATCGGAGGTCTGGTGCTATGCGCTTTCATCGTTCTCTCGTGCTTGTACGTGATAAGGCGGCGGAACAAGTCTGGCTACGACTTTACGAATCCGCTACCTGGTAAGAAACGTGTCGTTTACATGTTTCCCACCCTTGTGAAATTGTGTTGTGAAATCGTTTTGGCAGAGAATGGTGGGAAGGACTTGCGTGCATTCGACACAAGCGAGATCGCGGTGCTCCCAACCGAAGGCTTCTACATATTCACACTCAAAGAGCTTGCCAAGGCAACCAACCATTTCAGCAACGCATCGCTGCTGGGCGAGGGGAGCGCTGGCAAAGTCTACATAGGCCAGCTCCCTAGTGGCAAGCTCGTTGCAGTGAAGCGAATACTAAAGGAGAGAAAGGTGGAGACATTCTACAAGGAAGTGGAGCTGCTGGCACGCATCCGGCATCCCAATCTCACAGCTCTACTCGGCTACTGCCGCTCCAAGCACGTCTGCCTGCTGGTTTACGAGTACATGAGCAACGGCGACCTGGCACAAAAGCTTCTCAGTAAGTTTTGTTCCTCCTAAGCTGGAAAACTAGAGCATGTTTTTGCTGTGCCAGGAAAGGATGGCCCCGCATTGACATGGGACCAGAGAATCCAGATCGCCATAGACTGCGCAAGAGGACTTACATATTTGCACGAGTGCCCCGAAGGCCCAGTTGTCCATCGGGATATCAAGGTAGCAAAGGCTTTCCCACTCGAGATTGTTCTTTACTTTTCTTCTTGTAGCCGACCAACATTTTACTCAACGGACTGTTAGAGGCCAAGCTCTCCGACTTTGGTCTCTCCAAGATCATCGAGCTTGATGCCTCTCACGTCTCCACAGAGATCAAAGGCACGACAGGCTATCTCGACCCCGAGTACCTCATACTCGGTCAGCTCACCGAAGCCAGCGACGTCTACAGCTTTGGGATCGTTTTGCTGCAGCTGATGAGCGGCAGGAAAGCCATCGACAACGACACAAGAGTGAACCGTTCCATTGTCGAAATGGTGAGCACTTTATTCTTGCATGACAATGTCTAGCTTTAACTCTGGTGCTTGTTTGCGTTGTAAGGCCATGGCCGTCATCGGAGAGAAGCAGGGGCTGTCGCAGCTCTTGGATCCAAGACTGGATTGTGATGTTCCGCTGCCGGCATTCCAGAAGCTGGCGGAGGTAGCTCACCTGTGCGTCCAGCCCCGCAGTTATGACCGCCCGTCCATCTCAGAGGTTTTGCACGATCTGGAGCTGGCTTTGAGGCTGGGAAAAGCTTCAACTCCCCGGAACCAATGACACCGTAGTATACGTAGCGATAGTAGCAGCACCCCCACGCCAGATCAACTCGCAAGAGACGGATTGGATTGATCCGGAGAAGAAGGTGTTGCACACTCTCTTGTCTGCCACTATAGAGAAGACACAGATAACTTCACCTTTTGTGTATTTGCCCAGGAGGCAATAAGCTGTGCGCGTCAACACCGTCGCCTGGTAACGAGAATGCCCCGGCTATGGAACCAGGCCGCCATCTCATATCGATCTTTCAGAGTGGGTCGCACGTCCTCTTGTGCTGCTAGCAGTTCCAGCAGCGGGAGAAGCACGTCGAGCAACTACTACGCAAGAAGCAAGAAGAAAATCAATGACAAGAAAGGAAGACGAAGTTCTACATACCTGAGAATCGTTGGGGTTTTCGGCTGTGAATGGTACGCACGGTATTCCATTCGAAGGCTGCAGGATGAAGCTGCAGGGATTGTTGTCAATAATCACTGTTCTTCGCAAGTCTCGGCCTAGGCGTGACAGGTCTTTGATATGCTCCCTGTACTTGCTGCCAAGATCAAACACAGAAAGATTGTCTTAGCGAGAGTTGAAGCAAAAAAAAAGGTGGTATATTTACACACGTAACCAGAGTGGCCGGTCTGTACAGCCGCGCGGAGATCCTGTTCTCGGGATCAATCCTATCTACAAGCGGTCTAGCGTATCCTGCCAAGCGTGTCAAGAGAAGAAAGAGAAATGTTTGAGAGCTGTGTTTCCAAACCTTCGAGTCCGGCAGTAAAGAGAACAAGCTCCGCGAATTGGCTCACTCTCGCCAGGAACTCTCTCAACCCAGGCCTTTCATAAACCATGACGCAATTGATCTTCACGTTTCCCTCCTTGTCCTGGGAAGAAAGAAAACACACGATCACGGTCGCTGCAAGTGATGGAAGAAAGAAGTAGGAAGAGAGAGTACCTTGTCCGCCGCTAAGCATTCGAGCTGGAACCACGTCATTCCAGTATTCACTGCTCGGGAGTGGAGGCCTGGCGGCAAACCAGCCGAATCGTAGGCACACACGAGCGTCTCGTCCAAATCTAGAATCACCTATGACATAGCTAGCATCAAATCAACCGAGAAATGCTCTGGAATTTGTCCACTCTACTGTTACCGTGAGCTCTTGATCGCTCCTGCCGATGCGCGGCGGCAGCAAAGGGTTTTTCCATCCGGGGAGGAGCTCGCAGCACGGGGACGACGGCTCGCACAAGGCATGGATGCTCAAGAAGCAGAGGAATCGGCGCAGCGGTAGCTGGGAGGCGTCTAGTACGCGGAGAATCATCCGCAGCAGCAGCACGGCGCCATAGACACAAGTCTGCCAGAGGGCGCGGAGGATCCGACCCTCGTGCAGCGATCTCAGGGCATCCATCGCGGGCACAGGGGAAGAGCCCTAAAAAATGGTGTATTGTCTTCTTCTTTCGTCTTGGTTTTTTGGATTTAGGGTTCTAGCGAGCGAGACAGGAGAGCTCTTAAGCCATGGCGCTGTCGCTGCGCAAAATGGTTTCCATCGACGATCGCATGCGCCTGCTCGTCCCGACTAAGGTCACCGCCGATGACAAGCTGATCGAGTACGACATGCTGCTACTCAATCACTTCTTGTCGGTGCTCAAGGATCTTCACGGCGAGGAAATGCGGGAGCTGGTATGTTTCCTAGCCCTCTCACCGCCATGGATTTGGGATCGATTCATCCATCGAATTCGAATTTCTCCCAGGTGCATCGCTGCTACGAGCTCTCCGGTCAGTATGGACAGGCCGAGGGGTGCGGCGATCCGGCAAAGCTGGAAGATCTGGGCAATTTGGTGAAGAGCTTGCAGCCAGGGCCAGCGATTGTGATTGCGAGCTCGCTGTCTCACATGCTCAATCTGGGGAACCTGGCGGAGGAGGTCCAGATTGCTCATCGCAGGAGGGTGAGTGAGAAGTCGGGAGGGATTGGCGACGAGAACAGCGCTCTCACGGAGTCAGACATCGAGGAGACTTTCCGGAGGCTCATGAAATTGGGAAAGTCGCCGCAAGAGATTTTCGAGGCCTTGAAGACACAGACGGTGGATCTCGTGCTCACTGCGCATCCAACGCAATCCATCCGACGCTCGCTGCTCCAAAAGCATTCCAGGTAGTTTTCATGGACTAGCTTTTTTCTTGCTTTTCTCTTCGCTCTTCTCTATTCTCTAGGCCGAAGTCGTCCACACCATCACGTCCATCACTTTTACGTGTCAAGCACTGACTTTTTTGCGTTGTTTGCTTGTACTTAGGATTCGGAGCTGCCTGTCGGAGCTGTACAAAGACGATATCACTCCCGATGAGAAGCAGGAACTCGAAGAGGCGCTCCACAGAGAAGTAAGTCCATCCACACACACCGCGGGATTAGTTTCGTGCTTATAACACCGTTTTGACTGCCAGGTCCAAGCGGCCTTTCGGACTGACGAGATTAGGCGCACACCACCAACACCTCAGGATGAGATGCGAGCCGGAATGAGCTACTTCCACGAAACAATCTGGAATTGTCTCCCCAAATTTCTCCGGCGGGTAGACACCGCGCTGAAAGCGATCGGGATAAACGAGCGACTGCCTTACAATGTACCTCTCATTCAGTTTTCTTCGTGGATGGGAGGAGACAGGGATGGTAAGCAAGCTTGTCCTCTGTAGGACTATCGTTTTTTTATGCATTTTTGCAGGTAATCCCCGTGTCACTCCGGAAGTAACAAGGGACGTGTGCTTGTTGGCAAGGCTGATGGCGTCAAGTTTGTACTTTTCTCAGATTGAAGATCTTATGTTCGAGGTATTTTTTGTTGTTTTTCTTAACGTTTTCTGACGCCCTCTTGCTGTGCCAGCTCTCTATGTGGCGGTGCAATGAGGAACTTCGTGCTAGAGTGGCTCAGCTGGAACTTCGTACGAAAGAGGACGCCAAACACTACAAAGGTCTGTGTTTTGTTGTATTCTTTTGAACGGATTACCTCAGCTGCTGTGACAGAGTTTTGGAAGCCAATTCCTTCCAACGAGCCCTTCCGTGTTATTCTTGGTGATATACGTGATAGATTGTATCGGACGAGAGAGCGTGCTCGCCAAATTCTTGCGACTGGAAAGTCCGACGTGAATGAAGAAGAGGCTTTTTCGTCCGTTGAGGAGGTACTGTCCACTGTGACTTACATGTTTTGTTTTGACCGGTGTTTGTCTCTGTTAGATCCTTGAACCACTGGAGCTGTGTTACCGCTCGCTATGCTCTACTGGCGACAAACTTATAGCGGACGGCAGCTTGCTAGATTTCATGCGTCAGGTCTCTTGCTTTGGCCTCGGCTTAGTCAGGCTTGACATCAGGCAAGAGTCGGACCGGCACACGGATGTAATGGACGCAATCACCACGCACTTGGGCATTGGTTCTTACCGGAGCTGGACAGAGGAGGAGCGCCAAGAGTGGCTTCTAGCAGAGCTACGCGGGAAGCGTCCGTTATTTGGAGCAGATTTACCGAAAACAGATGAGATCAAGGATGTGCTTGAGACGTTCCATGTGATTGCGGAGCTTCCAACCGACTGTTTTGGAGCGTACATCATCTCAATGGCGACGGCCCCGTCGGATGTTTTGGTGGTGGAACTTCTCCAGCGCGAGTGCCGCGTCAACGTGCCTCTGCGGGTGGTTCCCCTGTTTGAGAAGCTGGCCGACTTAGAGGCTGCTCCTGCAAGCCTCACTCGCCTCTTTTCCATCGACTGGTACCGCAACCGCATCAAAGGAAAGCAGGAGGTAATGATCGGCTACTCTGACTCTGGGAAGGACGCTGGTCGTTTTTCAGCGGCATGGCAGCTTTACAAGTGCCAGGAAGAGCTTGTCAAGGTGGCAAAGCAGTTTGGTGTTAAGTTGACGATGTTCCACGGCCGCGGAGGAACCGTTGGCAGAGGTGGTGGTCCGACGCATTTGGCTATTCTGTCACAGCCTCGGGACACCATCGATGGCTCGCTGCGTGTGACCATCCAAGGCGAAGTTATTGAGCAGTCCTTTGGGGAGGAGCACTTGTGCTTCAGAACGCTCCAACGTTTCACAGCTGCAACGCTGGAGCACGGAATGCATCCTCCGACCGCGCCGAAAGAAGACTGGCGGAAACTTATGGACGAAATGGCCGCGATTGCCACAGAGGCTTACCGATCCGTGGTTTTCAAAGACCCGCAGTTCGTGCACTACTTTCGAATGGTATGTGCTCATAGCTTTCGTACTGTTGCATTGTGCTAAGGGCTCTCTCTGTGCGATAGGCGACACCAGAGCTGGAGTATGGACGCATGAACATTGGAAGCCGGCCATCCAAGAGAAAGCCAAGCGGGGGTATTGAGTCTCTCCGGGCAATCCCGTGGATATTTGCATGGACGCAGACGCGGTTCCATCTTCCGGTGTGGCTTGGATTCGGTGAAGCCTTCAAGGATGTAATTGACGGGAATCCACAGACGCTCAAGATGCTCCAGGCTATGTACCGCGAGTGGCCTTTCTTCCGGGTCACCGTCGACCTCGTGGAGATGGTTTTCGCCAAGGGAGACCCCCGGATTGCCGAGCTATACGACAGGCTCCTTGTGTCTCCGGAGCTGCAGGACATTGGGAAGAAGCTGAGAGGGAAATACGAGGAAACGCGAAAGCTCCTCCTAGAGGTACAGTGTTCATGTTTTTCTTGCCTTTTCTCAGCAAGTGTTTTCTTGGTCAGGTGGCTTGCCACTCGGAACTTCTTGAGGAAAACCCGACGCTCAAGCAGCGGCTTCGACTCCGTGAGCCATTCATCACGACGCTCAACGTGCAGCAGGCCTACACGCTGAAGAAGATGCGGCAGATCGAGCCGGACGATGCGCCAATGCCGAGGACCAACGCAAACAGCGCATCGGCGGAAGAGCTTGTGGAGCTTAACACCACAACCGAGTACGCTCCTGGCCTGGAAGACACCATCATTCTCACCATGAAAGGAATCGCGGCAGGAATGCAAAACACGGGATAGAGGAAAAGTAATCAAGCAAGTTA